AAGACTGTCGCAGATTAGAAATCTTCGATCACTGGTGCTTAAGAATCATTCTGGGAGTTCGATGGAGGGATCAACTCTCAAATGAAGCGGTCAGAAATCGGCTGAGGACGCTAATACAACGCCGACGACTGAAATGGTTTGGCCACGTTCTTCGCAAGCCTGATAACGACCTGACGAAAGCTGTCTTGGCACCGCCTCCCTGCCCGAACTGGCGATGTCGGCTCGGTGGACAGCTGAAAACCTGGCTCGACACGGTGCGAAAGGATACCGAAAACCTTGGCCTCCGCTTCGTCTACGGCGTTCGCCAATGGAAGTCAAACTGGATCACAATATGCGCTGATCTTGCCGCAGACCGCCGAGCGTGGGCAGCGGCAATTCGAGATATCCATGAAGCCGGCTTATCCTCTCCCAGGAGCCAGCCGCCGTAAAGTAAGTAAAGTAAGTGACTGACAGCCTGTATATACTGCCGGAACAGACAGGCAATAATGAGCTAAGCGGGTTACCTGGTTCCGTCGGTGACCATCAGTCGGAGCGTGAAGTGCATCAGAACTAATGCGTTGTCAGACACAACGCAGGTGGTTTAATAGCACCTGCAGTTTTGCGTTGAGCCACACCAACGGTAGCCTACTGCATGTGGTTCATTTGAGTCAGCGTACCGGATGAATTGAGGAGCCACGTTGCCGTCCGTTGATATCAGAAGTAGGTATTGGAATGGGTGTTTTGAGCAGGACTGAAGACGTCGATCGCCATTACCTGATCGCTATCAGAGCAGAGTACAATGATCACTTCATCAGAGCGTAGACTCAATGGAAAACATTGAGTGAGTGTGTCAAAGAAATCGTCCCATTGTGTATCAGAACTGCAGTTGGTTGGTGCGTATGCTGAAATGACCAAACACCTTTTGGTGTGGCTTCCCTTCCAGACGTTGATCCATTCCTGGAGCCGCATCACATATAAAAGACACTCAGCTCACTCAAGTGGTTTACAGTAGTAGGATCTCGAATTCGGGTCTCCGATACGCAGTAGACATCGATTGTTAAGGATACCACTATACGCGCCAGACAAGCTCGGTGAGCCACTTGCAACAGCGTCCTCGTTTTGGCTACCCGCAGACTGGGTGATTGACGAGGCTTCAGGATCCACAACCTATTTCGTGGTAAGCTACTTACAAAATGCTGTTCGGCAAGGACATTTGGCGACCGACAATCAAATTGATTATGGAACTATTACAGGTCGGAAAAACGGGCCAAGGAGAAGGGCTGGATACGGAAGACAAAGAATTAAACAAAAGTTGGCGTGTCTGAGCAGCAGCCCACTTATTACCACCGACCCCGCTCGATGCAGTGTTAAGCGTGATCCTGATTATCCCGTGAGAAGACTGATACCGTATGAAACTAATTAGTGTGTGTACATTATTGGACGGATACTGCTAGGGTGTCCAGCCTAAGAAAGAGAACAATTGGGTTCTGACCAGAACCTAACGGCAAGGCAGTGGTTGAAGCGAAATAAAAACCCTTAAACTTGGATCTATTATTC